GAAAGTCCCCCGCAAGATGCGTCTCTCTCTCTACGGCTGAAACAGTTCTTCTTCTTCTTAAACTGAGTTTGGTAAACCCTCGTACAAGTCGAAGTTCTGACCGTGCGGGTGGCGTCGAAGGGGCGTAAGGGCGGAGGCGTCGTAAAAGTTGGACGAAGTCAATTTTGCAGTTGAAGTTGGTAATGCGATTTGTGCCGGAATAAATAGTTTGAGAGAAGAGCACACAGAGCGGAGCGCGCAAGGGCCTTTCTATCTCTCGTCCCTTTCCCGTTCTCTCACTTCTACGCCTGTCGTCTCTCCGGCGGCTGGACCGATCCACTCGAGTTTGATGTCACGAGCACGTCTGTTGGACCTGCCGGACGTGACGTCCTTACCCGAAGGGGAGTTGTACTTAAATCAAAACAGCGAACGGCGACTTGGCGGAATGAATTGCGCCGGTGCCGGCGGAGTCGCGCGAGAACTGCCGATTGAATGGCTCCCATAAACGTTCGCCCGGGAAAAGTGCAGCCAAGTACGGGCGAGCGAGAGTACACGTATAAACAGCCCCGGCTCATTACTCCGACGTGGGAACGAGATTAACGTCAATTACAGTTTTCCGGGGGAAACGAGGCGGCGTTACCTCCGGCGCGCAAATATTCCGCTCGGGGAAAACTTTCGCGGCCGGGATTAAATTACGACGTTCTGTTTGTTCATCTTCAACGGCGATCTCGCGCCGTCCGTGAGCCCGTCGTAAGCCATTTCTTTTCGGGATCCGTAAACCGCGCGCGCGAAATTAATGACGCTCTTCTCGACTCGTTACGTTACACGCAAGCGGCAAATTGCCGCGAGCCCGGTACGTAATCCGCGAAAACGCAATAATAAGCCGGCTACTCCCCCGGTGAAAAACGACGCCGCGCACTCTCCTTCCACCCTCCCGCCGCACACCTCCGACCGGCACGCCGCTGCTCCAACCGTAATCCTGGAGATGAAAACTTACGCTAATTAAATCGTTAATAGCGGCGAGCGCATGCACGTAACGGCCGCGGCGGTTACTTAATCCCGAGAAAATGAAACGCTCGCAGTGTCCACGCGCGTATCTACGGTCGGCGGCCCGCGGTTTGCTTTCCCCGCGCATACGTGTGCGCCGGGAGACACGTAAGTTACGTTGTACTTTAGCACTGCCGTTTCGCAAACGGCGCATTTCTCCCCCTTCCTCGTTTCGCATGGATCGCATTTAATCTCTCTCATTGCCGCGTCCGTCTCGATGCCAAGTCTCATTATATTCCGCGCGCATCCGTTTTGTCGTACGATTCCCGGACGCTAATTCCTCCTGCGGCGCGCACCCCCCCGCGTCCTTAATGCGATCGTCGATAGCGATAAAAATGCGAGAAGTCGTCGAGCACGCTCTCGCGGAGCCGAGCGGTGGCTATAATTTGGCGGATCGCGCGAGAGGCGCTACGATCCGCCTCTTTTCTCCACGCTCTGACGTGTGTTTTCGCGTGAGACGCGTCGGGAAAATAGCACCGCGAATTTGAATAATAACACAATTCAACGAGTCGAGTTCCGAAAGACGATGCAGTGGAATGCCACACAGCTTAGCTAGTCATCGTCGGCGGCCTCGCCGGCGTTGTTGCTCATCGTCGAAGCGCAACCCGAAGCGCTCTCCCGTTGCCCATCCGGCACGACACGCTATACAAGAACGCGAGCCTTTCTGCCAAATAATAACCTCTACCTAGTTTCCATGGAAAAAGTTTTTAATTCACTCTCGAAGCTCCAACCTCGTACCGGCCGTTACCTTCGCCCGGGCGTTTCTCGTCTAAGACTACTCTATCTCGCACACATCGTCCGTGAAGAACGCGGCGAGCGAGGGCTGCGCGGGCGGAGGTGAGGGAAGGTGGGGTTGCATGTCGACAATGCCGCGTTTTCTGCACATTCACCGAGTTCTGCTGTCCACGAAGCTGGCACACATAAAGGTATTTGCAGCTTCTATTGAAAATCGTTACTCGTCCGAGACCCGCGCGAGACTCGCAGTTTCGTAGCGCGCTCGAGTTAAATGTAGAACTTGGAATAGCCGGCCGGAATAAAGTATAGATGTCGATACGGAGGGACGATAAGGGAAGTTTTCCCCCGGGCACGTAGGACGCGCCGATATGAATTCCAGAGCGGAGCAAAAGCCGAGCAATTATGAATCGCGGCACGGAGTCGGGGCGTTTATGTGCCGAAGATTACAATTAATTGTCTCCGATAGTCG